TGTTAACATTCCCACAGATGATACTACTGACTATCACCAACTATTGTGTGACGTCACGTGGCGTTGTGTGACGTCACGTGGCGTTGTGTGACGTCACTATCACCAACCAAATATCCCATTTCTTTTGTCCGCAATGTTCATGTTCAGCCATCCAAGCCGCCATTTTATTGCTCCATCTCTAATTTTATTGATATCACTTTGAGGCTCATGTCGACGGTACTCTGGGGGCTCATGTTGACGGTACCCTGGGGCTCATGTTGACGGTACTCTGGGGGCTCATGTTGACGGTACTCTGGGGGCTCATGTTGACGGTACTCTGGGGGCTCATGTTGACGGTACCCTGGGGCTCATGTTGACGGTACTCTGGGGGCTCATGTTGACGGTACTCTGGGGGCTCATGTTGACGGTACTCTGGGGGCTCATGTTGACGGTACTCTTGGGGCTCATGTTGACGGTACTCTGGGGGCTCATGTTGACGGTACCCTGGGGGCTCATGTTGACGGTACCCTGGGGGCTCATGTTGACGGTACTCTGGGGGCTCATGTTGACGGTACTCTTGGGGCTCATGTTGACGGTATCCTGGGGGCTCACGTTGACGGTACTCTGGGGGCTCATGTTGACGGTACTCTGGGGGCTCATGTTGACGGTACTCTGGGGGCTCATGTTGACGGTACTCTGGGGGCTCATGTTGACGGTACATTATAAGACGCATAGGCCATTAGCCCTGGCAGGGTAATAATAACTTAATAATGTCAAGAACCTATTTAGCCGATATATAACCGCATAATAATAATATCAAGAACCTATTTGGCCGATATATAACCGCAAGTACAGTGGTTTGGTGTGTAGTGTGTACACGGTTATCATGCCAAAACAGATATTATATTATAGTTTGTGGAGAAGCAGGGGTTTATTTACCTTGTGGCTCTAGTTAACAAGAACTCTGTGTGACGTCATGTGGTGTTGTGTGACGTCAGGTGGTGTTGTGTGACGTCACGTGGCGTTGTGTGACGTCACGTGGTGTTGTGTGACGTCACTCACATCTTGTTTGTGGGGAAGCAGGGGTTTATTTACCTTGTGGCTCTAGTTAACAAGAGCTCTGTGTGACGTCATGTGGTGTTGTGTGATGTCACTCACATCTTGTTTGTGGAGAAGCAGGGGTTTATTTACCTTGTGGCTCTAGTTAACAAGAACTCTGTGTGACGTCATGTAGTGTTGTGTGACGTCACTCACATCTTGTTTGTGGGGAAGCAGGGGTTTATTTACCTTGTGGCTCTAGTTTACAAGATGTTATATTCTCACATCTTGTTTGTGGAGAAGCAGGGGTTTATTTACCTTGTGGCTCTAGTTAACAAGAACTCTGCACAAGCTCTGGACTATGGTGTTTATTAATCTCAGCTGCAAACACTTACCATAACCTGCTGTTGTGTAACCTTGTTAATTCTGTCTGCTTTGTTACGTGTTGGCACGACGTTTATAGAACAAATCTTCAGGGCATTAAAGTAGTAGTAGTTCAGGACATTTCCAAGAAAGACATTTCACTAGATCACCCCGGATCACGTGACATAGATCTGTAAAATTGTTTTATAATTTGATAATATTAATTATAAGATAACACTCCCTAAGTTGCAGATAAGAGGATATGTTCCATCATATTATGCGTACAAAGTCTAGACACGCCAGTTTTAGCGTTTGGATACTGTCACACGCTGATCAAGAGTGGGACTAATTCATTATCACCTTATTAAAATTACAAGAGTGGGTAGTGGGAATTAAAACTACAAGCAGTTAGAAGGGAGACTAACTGGATTCCGTTTATTTAATACCTTTTGTAACAATGTAATATCATTTGTAGCAATTTAATACCTTTTGTAGTAATTTTATACCTTTTGTAGCAATTTGATACCTTTTATAGCAATTTAATACCTTTTGTAGCAATTTTATACCATTTGTAGCAATTTAATACCTTTTGTAGCAATTTAATACCTTTTGTAGCAATTTGATACCTTTTGTAGCAATTTGATACATTTGGTAGCAATTTGATACCTTTTGTAGCAATTTGATACCTTTTGTAGCAATTTGATACCTTTTGTAGCAATTTGATACCTTTTGTAGCAATTTGATACCTTTTGTAGCAATTTGATACCTTTTGTAGCAATTTGATACCTTTTGTAGCAATTTGATACCTTTTGTAGCAATTTAATACCTTTTGTAGCAATTTAATACCTTTTGTAGCAATTTAATACCTTTTGTAGCAATTTGATACCTTTGGTAGCAATTTGATACCTTTGCTAGCAATTTGATACCTTTGGTAGCAATTTGATACCTTTTGTAGCGATTTAATACCTTTTGTAGCAATTTGATATCATTTGTTGCCGTTTGATACCCTCTCCCTCCTTTGATACCTATTTTTGTATTTAATACCCTTTAGCCCTCGACCTGCTTGGTACCATTTTGCCCGCTTGAAACCCTTTTTAGTATGTGGCACGGTAGTGAACACACACACACACACACACACACACACACACACACACACACACACACACACACACACACACACACACACACACACACACACACACACACACACACACACACACACACACACACACACACACACACACACACACACACACACACACACACACACACACACACACACACACACACAACTCGTAGCTCATGCTCTGAAGACAGAAGTGTCTGGGCAGGCTATATCAATCAATCTAATGAGTATTTGATCACGTGACCAGCCTTGTAGCCCACGTGCACAATGTCTTCTGGTCACGTGACCAGTGTTTACTGCCCACGTGGTAATGTGTCAGTGCTCTGGGGAGTGGGATGCACGGCTATTTTGGAGAACCCTGCCTTTTTGGGGGTCGCCCTCGTCTCCAGGGTCTATTTAATGTGAATATATGCGAGATTACGACCCATGGACGGTAGAACTCCGCCCACGTGCTACTTTAACCAGATCACATGACCCAGCCCACGTGACCAGCAGTGTAAGTGAGACGTGAGCATGATTCCCCTAGATCACGGCTTCTTCCACAAAGCACTGTATGTGTCAGTGCAAGCAGCTCATTGTTAAAGCTCCCGGATGAGTGAGCTTGACCTGCTGGTGTGTGGCATCTCTTTCTGTGTGGCATCTCTTTCTGTGTGGGATTGTACCTCCGCATGTGCTCCTTCTCCAAACTATTTTTAGCTCCGGGGTATTTTGAGCAGTGCTATCAGTTCGAGTTTAACAGCTCTGAAAGTCTCTAGAAAGACTCTAGAGACTCTGTAACACTACACTAATCCACCAGTCTCTAGAAACTTAAGAGTTTGTCTTATTTGTTAGATTTTGACTTTTGAGCGGCAAACAAAGTTGTAAAAATGTCTTGAAACAACGCTCTGTACCACAGCTTAGTACAGATTATTAATTGTAAAGCTTTGCCGAGTAAAATATTATACCAAAACATTATTAAGCTTGTGTACACAAAGAGGTTTGGTTATTAATTAAAGTAGTCCTAGGCACCACCAAGTTAAAAACATACTGTATTTCAGGTCGGAGCTTGTCTTTGATGTAGCATGTTTGCTGCTAGTATATAACAGGGGATAATAGGGGTCGGCGACAATTGTGAATTGTCGGGGTGTCAATTGTCGGGGGTCAATTGTCGGGGGTCAATTGTCGGGGGGTCAATTGTTGCGGTACCGTATATAATAGTCGGCCTATTTTCAGGTAATATGTCCAATAAAGAGGTTAAAATTTGTACATTTTAGATTCAACCATTTATAATATAAATCTGAGATTTTGCTTGCTGATTAGCAATGCTGATTGCTGATAGGTCCTTTGATTTTTACTTAAAATTTAGGGTTAAATTAACTTGGTAAGTAAGAAAATAATTTCAGGCTCCAAATTAGACTTTGATGTAAGCTGCGCTGTGAAATCACGTGGTGTTGTGTGACGTCACGTGGCGTTGTGTGACGTCACGTAGCGTTGTGTGACGTCACGTGGCGTTGTGTGACGTCACAAAACTGTGGGCAGTGTTTGATTAATAAAGTTTTTGTGTGTTAGTTGTGTATGAGCAGTGTTTTATGATTAATTGCTGTTGTTAAAGTCGGTTTTTTGTTTAGTATGTCCAAAAATAAACAATTTTATTTAAAATGTAACCTTATAAAACTGGTACGTACCAGCCAAGGTTCTTATGTAACCTGTTAAGATAAGCTTGTTAAACCTAAAGTAATATTATTATGTAAATTAATATTATTATGTAAAGTAATATTATTATGTAAATTAGTATTATTATTATATGTTAAAGTATTATTAGTTGTAACCATAATATTACAACCACATGTTACAAGCTAATATTATGATTGGTATTATCGTGTTGTGTATCATCTTGAGGTTATATTATAAATATAAATAATAGAGATATTATTTATATAATATTATTATATAAATAGATATTAGATATAATGTGTTGCGTTAGGTAACGACCATTATCATGGTCGATTTACCGTTATTGCATATATATTCGAGCTATTTATTTGTATATATTTGAATTATGTATTATTTGTCACACTCTGTAACTAATTATTCACTGTTACTAATTATTCACTGTAACTAATTATTCACTGTTACTAATTATTCACTGATACTAATTATTCACTGTAACTAATTATTCACTGTAACTAATTATTCACTGTTACTAATTATTCACTGTTACTAATTATTCACTGTTACTAATTATTCACTGTTACTAATTATTCACTGTAACTAATTATTCACTGTTACTAATTATTCACTGTTACTAATTATCCACTGTTACTAATTATTCACTGTAACTAATTATTCACTGTTACTAATTATTCACTGTTACTAATTATCCACTGTTAATAATTATTCACTGTTACTAATTATTCACTGTAACTTATTATTCACTGTAACTAATTATTCACTGTAACTAATTATTCACTGTTACTAATTATTCACTGTTACTAATTATTCACTGTTACTAATAATTAATTTTCTGAAGCATGTGAAGTTAGTGTCCTGCTCATTAAAACCCGCCCTGCAGAAGAAGTACAGTTTAAATAAGGTTAGTCACACTTCTTTTTTAAATATTGTTAAATAATTAATCTTGAAAACCGCATCATATGATAATAATATACCATCTCAATAATATATTCCGTGAGCTTCAAGCTTGCGAAGTTGTAATCTATTCTCGTATCCTGGACTTACTTTTGGGTCCAGCCTTGACCCATTAGGCTAGGCAAAAAAGTTGATGAATTACAAAATCCAGCAGCGCCCTTCTTTACATGGAGACGGTTGAAAACTTGCCAGTTCTATTTATACCAGCTTCCCGGCAAGGAGAGCAATACTTGTGCTTGTGATATTAGATCGGGAGTTATCGGCGGAGAGCATTCAGCAGTATGATGGATATTACATTAAATTATGTATTATATCTAATGATTCGCGAACTTTTGAGACTAGTCGACTGCTTTCTTGTTTCTGGTGGTATAGTGAGGGGCTGTGAAGGGGGCGAGGGGCGAGGAGGGGCTGTGGGAGGGGGCGAGGAGGGGTTAGAGGGGGACTGAGGGAGGGGGACGAGGGGTTGACTTGCGTTCTTATAAATATTTTTGAATTGTTAAAATGAATGATGAATCCTTTATCGTTACAATAAAACCAATTTATGAGGCACCAAACTTTCTCCCGATTTAGATCAACTAGTTTCAATGTTCATAGATTTGGAATAACATTGTCATGCGTGTTATTTTAACATATTAATGTAATATTAAATTGAATAAATAAACCATAAATTTTTGCTCTTTTGACTTTTGAATTTCCGATATCCCGAAACCCGAAAGCGTTGCATCCAACTACTATCATACTTGAGGTTACTCTATTCCATGAAACATTCTCGATCATTTTGAAATCTTAAATCATCGATATCGTGGTTTTATTGTAATATAATCCATGATATTTACTTACGTAAAATCTAAATACTCACTTAATAATTTTCTTCCGTTATGTTATAGCTTAGGTTTTACTAACAACTTATATTATAATGCACAAGTTATGAGAATGATCCAGATATTATATCCGACCCATTAAGGGGGGGGGGGGGGGGGGGGGGGTTCACCCTGATTTTTTGTGAAACTTGATTTCGAGATAGCAGTTGACCAACAAACTAGGACCAACAAACAGCAAATAGCGATGGTTTTATCATATCTAGCAAGTATTTGCAGCAAATAGCGATGGTTTTATCATATCTAGCAAGTATTTGCAGCAAAAAGCGATGGTTTTATCGATCAAACCCCCCCCCCGGCCCTGCGATATCACAGTTGTCAGTTAACCGTTGAAATGAGATTATGTAATCCCGATAAAACATCTTCCGGTACCAGGTCCCGTTTTAATCTGCGTCAAATCTATAAACTAATTTGTCAAATTTGACGGTTATTTAACTCAAAAACAGTATGGGGGGGGGGGGGGGGGGGGGGGGGTACGTCACATTATCTGGATAGAAATATCTTTATAACACCCAATATAATAGTTGTTATTCATATTTCTTGTGATTTATTTTTTTGTTCAACTTCAAGTGTCGTATCGAGGTTTAAGTTGCATATTTTTGTTGGAACTTAGATCCTGAATAAGCATGATTCGTTGTGCAACCTGCAGCGCTGAATAGTGAATAAATAAAATTCATAACGTCGCACAGAAAATTTTGATTGCTCTGTGGTTGACATTCTAAAATTTGCTTTATCAAAATACAAGTTGCGGTCAGCAAGGATTTATACGTTATCATTTATTATATGTTATAGCTTTACGAGTTGTAGAATATGAACAATATGCTGTGTATTCTGAAGATGTTTTGTTAGAGAAATGATGAAAACGGGCATCTTCAAATTCAATTGTAAATGTCTTAAATATTCGATATATAAAATGTTTGATTAAAGCTTACCCGGATTCCAATAAATGCAGAGTGTAACATCGTCATGATCATCATAATCAAATAATTTTAACGAATTTCTCATACTAAATGTTGAGATAATTAAATAATTTTCCCAATCTGCCCAGGTAAGATGACAGACGGAAACAGCAGTAGTCTGACCGATTGCAGCTGGGAGTATGGGATGGGAGGTTATTATTACGTTGTCATGGCAATCGTCTACATCATTGCCATTGTCATCCTCTTTATTGGTGAGTTGATTGTGTTAATTGAGAAGTAATTGTGGTTTAATTGAGTGGTAATTGTGGTTTAATTGATGATTAATTTAAGGATTGCAGCGCGGGTATGGATTCAAGTCGAATACTGATAAGCTAACTTCTGGTTTGAAACAAAAACTGTAAATTATTAAAA